AGAGGGGGGGGAAGAGGAGGGAGAAACACCGTGAGCGCGGCCAAGTTGGCTGGCACTTCCACTTCATTGAAGTGTTGTTGGACAAAGGAGGGCTAGAGGAAAGCCCCCGTTACATGTGAGAGGACCCGGGGCGCGAGTTCGGCGATCGCCCGAATGATTCGTCGTCGCAGCGGCCGATTTCTCGGACGCGTCAGCACCAGATGCGTCTCCGTGTATGGCCTCCGCTCCAGCTTAACCGCCGCGAAGACCAAGATATGGTACATAATGTTGGGCCGCCCGCCGGTCTCGAAGATGAGCGTGCCCACCAACCTCACCGCTATACATCCGTCGAATGGAGGCTGTAAGAACGCCTCCCATGCCGGATCAGGACGCGGCGCCCCCTCGATGGCCTCAAGCCGGATGGTGGCCAGTTCCACCATGTAATCCACGTCGGTTTGATGGACCGTCCGGCTTGGGGGAACTGCTAATGTCAATGACCGGGGTATCTCGGGTGGGCTGGCGAAATCGGAACGGTCCTCCAAGGAGGGGGGGTCTAGATGCGGGATATGGAACTCGTCCCAATCCCCCCCCTGCGCCTGATGGCCCGGCTGCATGGCTATTGAGATCGGGGAGGCGTGGCCGCTGAGGTGTCGACTCCCGATGGCCTGTGGATCTCCGCGGTTCTTCGGCGGGGCAGTCCTCCCCCAGTCCGGGACCGATGATGAGCGTGGCTCTTCTCTCACGAACCGGATGGACTTCGCGCACCGGCGCAGGCTGGACGACCTCCTCGACAGGCCCCACTCGACTGGCCTGAGTTCCGGCGATGGACTTCGTCGCCGCTTTGGGACGATTCTCTTTCTTGGTGCCTTCAGGGCCGCCGGCTTTGGATACGATGATGGAGGCCGCAGCGGCTTATCTTCTTGCCCGAAGTCCACCACGGACTCCCCCTCACGCGCCAGGTAGTCATGTATCACCGCCACGTTATACGATCTGCACGGGGCTGAGGCGGTCCGCAGTCTGAGTTGCAAGTCTTCTTCCTCCGCGGCGATTACCTGCGCGATGGACAACAACTCGATGTGAATGAGCTGTAAGAGCCCCGGGCGATTCGTTCCGATCCTCCCAAAAGGGTAAAGCGCCACCGTTCCCTCCTTCCGCTCCGGCTTCGGCTTGGCGATCACGTAGTATACGTAGAGGAGCTCGCCGACGTTATGAACTTCGTGCTCCACGAAAAATGTAAACATGCCCAGCACCACCGACGAATAAAGCGCCCGATGCAGCTCCCACGCGTCCTCGTCAGCAGGCGGCAACTGCTCCACATCCGTCAGCTCCTCCAAGTACTCGGGGAAGTTGCGCATAGGATAGGGGAGCTGTGTCAGTTGGTAAGGGAGGGTAGTGTAAGAGAAGAAGGGAGGCATTTAGAGAAAAGGGGGAGGGACAACTTGGATGTTGAGGGGCTCGACAGGAGGAAGGAGCGCGGGAAGCTGCGGCACCAATGCAAGTGCTCCCTCCGGAGTCCGCCGCAGAAGTCCTTCGTATGCGGTGAAGCGATGAGTGCCCCTTGCCTGCACTCGTGCTACCGATCTCGCCACCTGGAGGGCATAATCGCGCAGGAACCTGTACGCCGACTCTCGATCATGCCCGGGCAAGACGGTTAAGTCCCCGGTGAAAGTAGCGATGATGTGCACAATGTTCGTAGCCACTTGGATGGCTCGGAACTCGATGAACACTCACGTGGATTCCTGACCAGGCACGGGCGATATGTCCACATAGACGCCCGCGTACGTTACCCGCTGCGCGAGGAGCGAGTACACCGCCAAGTCTGCAACGCCAGAAGCCGACACGTTCACTTGCTGAATGTCGAAGCGCAGTTGCCGATCGTCGTTGAACCTGTGCCGGAGAAGAGCATCCGAGATTGGCGGCTGGAAGTGCTCGAGCAGTTTATGCTCCTGTTGGCGATGGTTCATCCTGCGAGGCAAGGTCTTCTGCGGATGCCGACGACGCTAATCGGAGAGAAGGGGAAGAAGGAGGCAAGGACGAAGGAGCACGAGAGAGGGACAAAGAAGGTGATTCGGGCAGGACAGGTGGCCGCACGAGATCTAGCGATGGCCGAAAAGGCCGGAGGGCAGCAGCGTGCCTTGTCAGCGAGCGGCCCTGCGAGTTGTGCCTGGGAATCAGCTTCACGGAGTGCTGGCCTCGTGCGCCAACTTCCGTCACCTCGTAAATGCCTATGTAGAGTGGGTGGATTTTGGAGGAGCGCGCGGATTTCCGTACCTGCACCAAGTCCCCTATTTTATAGCGAGGCAGTGGTCCCGCGGACGCATGTCGATTTTCGTAGTCGGGGATCTGTCGTTGATGTGTCCGATCGACGGCCCGCTGTTGCCGGCGCGCTAACGGGGGATAGGACCTAGCCATTAAGTCCATATAGTGGTGGGCCTTATATCTATGCTGGGCCCGTGTTGCTCTAACTTCCGTACCGACCAAGGGGGACAACTGCACCCGAGGGACATTATTGGTTCTCAGTTGAAAGGGGGACACCCCATTACTACCGTGTGGGGTAGCCCGATAAACGGCCAAGATGTGGTCGACAATGACAGGCCAGGGCCGGGTGTCTCCCGCCGTGATATTCCGTCTAAGGGCGGTCTTAATCAGTCGGTTGGCATTCTCTACCAGGCCGTTGGCTTGGGGCCAAAGCCCTGGCGAGTAGATAATCTTAACGTCTGCCCTGACTAGGTGACGTTCTACTTTGCCTTGAAATTCCGACCCATTGTCCATGTGTATCGCTTCTACGTCTAGATGCATGCACAAAAATCGATTTACGTACCAGGCTACCTCCTGCGAATTCCGTCTGGTCATAGGGTACGCCTCGATCCATTTCAAAAAATGATCGACGGCCACTAAAAGAACATTGAGCTCTCCCTGATCGACGGGACCTCTCAGAACGTTGATATCCATCGTGCCGATGCTAACCCTCTGAAAAGGGCGCTCTACACGAGTGGGCACCATCGTCCGAGGCATCTGTACCGGCGCCTTGTCCGCCGCGCAGGCCGGGCAATTCTGGACGGTGTATTCCACATCTTCCCGAATTCTCGACCAGTACCATCCGTTCTTTTCGATGACTTTTTCTGTGTACTTGACCGCGAAATGGACCGCATCCTCTTCATGAGCGGCTCGTGTCCAATCGAACCTAGCGAGAGGGTGTGGAACCGTCAACCAGCTAGACCCTCCGTCATCATCGACCTCTCGTTTTTGTAACGTCAGTCCCTGCCAGCGATAGTCCTGCGCCTGCTCCGTGACTCTCCGCCGATTGGCTTTGGTAAGTCCTGACAGCGAGTCGCCTGACAGCCTCAGTAGCAACAGAAGGTTCGTCCAGGCTTTTGCCCGGCGGGCACTTGGCGCAAATCCGTCGGCTGTTCTGGCGTCCAGATACCGCTTCTCGGTAGGGACTTCGTCCGTTCTACAGTTGAGACAGACCCATGTCTTTTCACTTCGGTACCTAACGCACTATCCGTGAGATTTGACCGTATGACACTGACTACACTGTACCCGTAAAAGAAAACTGGGTCATCCCAGATGTGACCCTTCTTGGTCCGGGACCATAGGCAAGGTACAAAAGAAACAGGGACTTAGATGTGTTTCAGGGGACGAGTAGGGACTAAATGAGAGAGCGAGGGAATTGGATGAGGGCAGAGAGATAGCGTCCGCCATCTCCGGCGAAACCTCCATTCCGGACTCAGACGTCGTTCTTGTGCAGCACGTGTAGCTCCCCGTAGTGCGGTTTCGTCGTCGCGACTTCTGGCCTCCACGGAATGAGTCGCTCGTTGGCGGGACACTTGTTGGGCGGCAGGAGGCGCGTCAATCCATCGGCGTTACCATGCTGCCGCGTGGCACTGTGGCGGATGTCGAAGTCATAGTCTTGCAGACGCACCGCCCACCTGCCCAGCGTCCCCGTGTAGTCCGTGTTGTTGTGTAGGGACAACAACGACTGATGATCCGTTACCAGCATAAATTTCAAGCTGTAAAGATACGGTCCGAAATGCTGGATCCCCCACACCACCGCCAGGCATTCGCCTTTGCACGCTTCGTAATTAGCCTGCGCAGGGCTCAGCGTCTTAGACGCATACTCAATGGCGTGTTCCCTTCCGTCTGCCCCGTGTTGAGTCAGCACCGCCGATATCGCCTCAGGATGCCAGTCGGTATGCAGTGCGAACGGTCTTGTCGGGTCGGGACGCGCCAACACAGGAGCACATGTCAGAGCCCACTTCAACGCCTGAAACGCCGCCTCACATTCCGGCGTCCAGATTAGCTGTTCCTCTTTCTTCAGCAGGTTCGTAAGGGGCTTCGCTATACCGACGAACCCCTTGATGAAGCGTCGGTAATAGTATGCCAACCCTAGAAAAACCCGAACCTGGGTCAGTGTAACCGGCGCCGGGGCGTCTTCAACTGCTGCCACCTTCCTCGGATCCGATTTTAGTCCATCCACCGTTACGATGTACACCAAGAATGAGATCTCCAACAAGAAGAACTCGCTTTTCTCCAAGGCCACTTTGAACCCCGCATCCTTTAGTGCATGCAAAACCCACTCAATGTGTTTCATGTGGTACTCGTGTGTGTATTTGAAAAGACCAAAATATCATCCATGTACACAATCACGCAGAAATTAATCAGGGGCTAGGTTAGTCGAGTTTTGTTAACGAACTAAGCGAAGGCCATATTCATGGTCCGCTGAAACGTTGCAGGGGCGTTACAAATTCCCATGGGATACCGGACCCACTGCCATGTGCCCTCAAATAGGACAAAAGCGGTTTTGGGTCGGTCCTCCAGTCGGACTGCGACGTGGTGAAAACCGTGTCGGATATCGAACTTGGAAAAGACTCGAGCGGCCCCGATAGCATCTAGCAAATCGTCGATTCGCGGCAAGGGATACACATCCTTGGTAGTGATAGCGTTTAATTTCCGGTAGTCGATACATACCCGGACCGAACCATTTCGTTTTGGCCCGAGGACCACGGGAAAAGACCACGGTCCCAGCGATGGTTCGACCCATCCCAACCGCTCGAATTCCCGTACCCTTTCCAACGCCAGTTGTCTTTCCTTAAGGGAATATCGGTACGGTCGGCAATGTATCGGGGCGTGATCCCCAGTATCGATCGCGTGCTGTATCAAAGGGGTTAGCCCTATGTCGTGGTCCTGAATACTGACGGACTCATGATAGGCCCGTATAACCGCCAGGAGGAGGCGTCTGTATTCATCCGGAACACGGGTTGGTAACTGAACTTCCACAGTTTCCCGGGGAAGGGAGACCGTCATCGTAATCGTGGGGACCGCCGCGTTGGCCTCGGGCGAGGCCCCAAACAAAGAGTTATCGGTTTTCGCCGAAAGGACGATGTAGGGCCAAGCCCCGGTAGACTTTCGAGCCTTAGTCGAACCCACTTCGGGTCCCAGTTGGCTAGACCCGCCCACACTCATGCTCAGGGCGCGGGCCATTTGTCCCAAGGTCACCCCTACCTAGTGCTTTGAGATGGATGGGGGTGGGCCATCGCGCGAGAGAGCTTTGACATTGGGGGTGTAGCTTTACCCTCATGCCAGGTGGTAGTCTCGCTGGTCGTTCCGCCACGCTGATTTTTTTTTAATTCTTTATTGTGTTCTCAAGCAATTGCTCCTTCCAATACGCAGGCATTCCAGGGGTTCTTTGAGCGTTTCTCTTCTCTTGTGCGTAGGCTAAGCGTCATCCTTAGGCCACACACCGTTTCCCTAAGCATTTTGGCTTTATGGCGTCATCGGGGTGCGGCAGGGCCGTCCTTCCCCTCGCCTCTATGCATCCATTGAATCTCACAATTTGCTTCCTACCTTATTGAAGTAGGCACCTTAGTCTTTTCGGGATCCTCATATGTATGCACACACAACATCACATTTTCCTTGGTACGATTGCACTCTCAATCACACTTCCAAGTCTCAAGTGCAAAAGTCATTTTCATGAATTGGCTCTATGTCAAGGGTCCCATAGCCTCTTTGTCTCTGTTCCCTTTCCCTCTTGGTGCCCAGTTCCTCTCGCCCTTATCCCGCTCAAGGCATTTCTAGTCATTACTCACCTGCACAATGCTACACAAGCAAGAAGATTCATACAATGTCCCCCGTCGGGGCCCGTCGGGGGTCAACACATAGCCCTTCCCACATGTCTATTCTTTCCATGCTCTTTGGTTGTGCTTTGTTCCCTTTTTGTTGTTCAATCAGCCCATCCTTTTCTCATAGTCATGCAGTCGGGGAAATGGTTGAGTCAAACTGACCTCTCTTTAACTTATGCTTTCTCTGGATCTCTTCCTTTTTCCACTTTTTCCCAACGCCCTCTTTTTCTTCGCCTTTTTAGTGGCACAAGGGACCGGCTACCCTTCCCTTGCCCTCTCTCTTCACCAAGTGAGGTCTGGTCCGTCTTTACTGTTCGCACCCGGTCAATGTAACAAGTGAGGGGAGAGAGGCTAGTCATATGCCAAGTGAGGGGAAGGGAGAGCGGGGACAAGGCGAAGGGAGAGGGAAGGGGAGAAAGCATGGTGGAGAAAAAAGAGAAGGAGAGAGAAAAAAAAAAAAAAAAGAGCGAAGAGGAACAGAGAGAGGGGAAGTGAGAGTAGGTATCTGATCCTAATCAAGTCATCACCCCGTAGTAGCAATCACACGTTGATCACTTGTCTCATAGAAAAGGTTGACTAGGTATACCTTGGAATATTATATACAAACATGACAATGAGACGCTAGATCAATGGAAAACACACGTTTATAGAAAAGAAGTTTATTAATCCAAGATCCGGAACATAATTTCCAACATGGATTTTGACAATGAAAGACTAGACTAGTGGAAAACACATGTACAACGAGTAGAGGTTAACGAAGCAAAAATCCGGAACTTGAACTTTTGACATTGAGAGACTTAGACTAACGAAAGGCACATGCACAAAGGGTAGGGATCAACGAAGTAAAGAGTCGGAATATGGACTTGGCAATGAGAGACTAGACTAGTGGAAAGCACATGCAAAAAGAGTAGAGGTCAACGAAGCAAAGATCCGGGACTTGAACTTTCGACAATGGGACACTTAGACTAACGAAAGGCACATTCACAAAGGGAAGAGACCAACTAAACAAAGATCCGGAACATGAACTTAACAAAGGAATAGGTTAAACTAGTGGAGGCACACGCACAAAGAGAGGAGATTAACTAAACAAAGATCCGACTTATGAAATTGACAAAGGGAGGTTAGACTAGTGGAAAGTACATGCACAAAGAGTAGGTATAAACGAAGCAAAGATCCGGCACATGAACTCGACAAAGGAAGAGGTTAGACTAGTGGAAACTCATGCACAAAGAGAAGCGATCAACTTCAGCAAAGCTCCGGAACATGAACTTGACAAAGGAGAGACTAGCCTAGTGAAAGCACATGCACAAAGGGAAGAGATCAACTAAACAAAGATCCTGAACATGAACTTGACAAGGGAAGAGACTAGCCTAGTGGAAGCACATGCACAAAGAGAAGAGATCATCTTAAGCAAAGATCCGGAACATGAACTTGACAAAGGAGAGACTAGCCTAGTGGAAGCACATGCACAAAGGGAAATGATCAACTAAACAAAGATCCGGAATATGAACTTGAAAAGAGAGGAGGTTAGTCTAGTGAAAGCACACGCACAAAGGGAAGAGATCAACTAAACAAAGATTCTTAACATGAACTTGACAAGGGAAGAGACTAGCTTAGTGGAAGCACATGCACAAAGAGAAGAGATCATCTTAAGCAAAGATCCAGAACATAAACTTGACAAAGGAGAGACTAGCCTAGTGGAAGCACATGCACAAAGGGAAATGATCAACTAAACAAAGATCCGGAACATAGACTTGACAAGGGAGAAGGCTAATCTAGTGAAAGCACATACACAAAGAGAAGAGATCAACTAAACAAAAGATCTGGGACATGAATTTGACAAGGGAAAAGGCTAGCCTAGTGGAAAGCACATGCACAAAGAGAACGGATCAACGAAGTAAAGATCCGGAATATGAACTTGACAAAAGAGAGACTAGACTAGATGGAAATCACATGCATATAGAGTATGGATCAACGAAGTAAAGATCCGGAATATGAATTTGACAAAAGAGAGACTAATCTATATGGAAAGCGCATTTACATAGCGGGAAGATCATCCGAAACATCATACCAAGTATGAACAAGATAAAAAGGCACCTGCATGCGACGGGTAAGATCAACCGGAACATCACACTAAGTATGAACAAGACAAGGAGATGTTAGACTAGATGGAAAGCATATGCACATAGGGAAAGATCATCCGGAACATTATACCAAGTATGAACAAGATAACGAGTAGCTAGACTAATGAAAAAAAACATGCATGCGAAGGGGAAGATCAACAGGAACATTATGCTAAGTATGAACAACACATGGAGATGCTAGACTAGATGGAAAGCACATGCACATAGGGGAAGATCAACCGGAACATTACACTAAGTATGAACAAGACATGGAGATGCTAGACTAGATGGGAAGCACATGCACATAGGGGGAAGATCAACCGGAACATTACACTAAGTATGAACAAGACAAGAGATGCTAGACTAGATGGAAAGCACATGCACATAGAGGAAAGATCAATCGGA